TGAAATCAAGAAATTCTATAATAATTATCTTCAGTTTTTTAATTAAGTAAGTTTCTTCGAAAAATAAGAAAAACTAAGTATAAATTTGATTCTTTTATATATGATTTGTATAGTATTTATGTGCATTTATCATGGTAACTCATTAATTTAACTTCTGTTCATTCATGAAATAACCTATTAAGAATATTGTTTGTGAATAACTCATGTTTCAGACTGCAAGATTAGAGTTCCAGGAATTGCATCCATTAATTTCATATAAATAAAGTTAAAATCAACAGAAAATCCATTATATAACGAATGATGAAATTGAATATTATCAACGAATACAAAAAAAATATAGCAATCTTTAAACGATTAAAATTTATGATCTTGTTAATAATTTCTATTTTTGAAAATAAAAGAATAATGGTAAGCTATTAAAAATCAGAGAAATCAAAGATTATTTCAATTTTTCAATTATATAAACAGAACATTTTACAATTTTGAATTAATTATTTCTTTCTTTAGGAAAAAAAATTTGTAATATAAAATTCGATTCATGAAATTAATTTTTGTATTCAATTTTATCAATTCTTTTACAATGAATTTTCGATTCAGAAATAAAAAACTTTAAGAATTTAAGAAAACGAATCTTTTCTTTCTCAAATAACGGCAAAATCAATAAATCTTATCTTTATTTCAATTCAGTATTTTTTATTAACTATTTTAGTAAATCAAAATACAAAGATTGTCTATTTAATTAATAATTATTATTAAGAAAAGTATAATTAAAGCCCTGAATCAAACTTCGTTAATGTTTAGAAAATAATATAAAATTGATAAAATCTGTTAACATTTCATTTACAATTGAAACTAAGAATGGTCTCGAGTAAAAATTGTTAAGTAACTTAATGAAAAATATTGTTTTTGCACTAAAATTTACATTTTCGTTCATAACTTATAAAAAATTCTGTTTCTGAAAATGGATATAATCTGTTTTTATATCCTTATTAACCAATTGAGTTTTATTTATTTTTGATAATAAAATTTACTAGAAAATAGTTGTAAACAAAATTGTATTAAACTTTACAATTCTGATTCATTAAAAACAAACCATTGATATTAGACATTAAATATAAAATGGATATAATTCTAATTAATGAAATCAAATCAATTTTAAAGCTAAATTTGTAAGATTTTGTTTCAAATTGATTCTCCAACTGAAGTATTATTTTTTTAATAAAATTGAAATAGAAAATAAGTAAATAATAATAAAAATACTTACTCGAGGAACAAATTTGAGCAATCGGTTACAGAGTTTACGAAAGAGCACTGAAGAATATCAAGAAAAAAAAGGTAAAGAGAGAAAAAAAAAACGCAGCGAAAGCTGGTTTCACTTTGGGTGGTGGAAAAAAAAAGGAAAAAAAGGATTGTTACGTAGAAGAAAACTATGTAGTCCGTAGACGCGATCCGTCCGACGGGTGGTGGTGAAGAAGAGAATTTGCAGCGGTCCGCATCCACAATTTTTTGTTTGTTTCCAAAGAAATACGTTTTTTTTTATTATTTCAGTTCAGACAATCTGTACAATTACAATATTATAATAATGGTTACACAGTAATATAAAGAACATGGCATCAAAAATAGAAAAGCAAAGAGAACGGAAAAACGAATAAACAAAATAATGATATAAACGAAAAAAAAACGAAAGTAATATAGAAGAAAGAAAACCGGCCATCATGAATGAAAGGATTTCAGGTTTACAATGAATCCATCATCATCATCATTATTAATTAATTATCCTTAAATATTCCTTCATCCTTGTATTTATATTTTTACCATCATCATCATCATATTTATAGTTTAAATATAATACATTCAATGTTATTAATTCGGCTGTCGAGAGGATCGCGCGTTTCCAAGGATCCAAAGGAAACGAGCATCGAACAAACAGAACAAACAAAAAAACAAAATCATCACTACCTTAAATATTATATAATTACAATTACATGTGTATTTTAATTAATCGTGTGTGTTTCCTCTTTTTCCTGTATATAAATAATAAAATTGCATTCATTCATACATAAGAATTTCTTTACGAAAATTCCATCAGTAAATTTAATTTAAAAAAAAATTGAAATTTACAACTAATCCATCGATTTTAGCTCAGTTTACTAAATGATATGAAAGATTTCGCTCCGCTTAATTATTTCAAATTTAAAAGAAACAAATACTGGAGAAGCATTCGCCTAACTTCTACACAAAAGCAACTTTTTTCCATCAACATTCTCTTTCCGGACTTTTTTTTTAATTCAATTTAATTATTTTCTTCTGGTTTGCACGAAGAATATTTTTTAGTTTTAGCTCACGCCATTTCCTTTCTTCGTTTTGTATATATATTGCACTTATTCCATACACACTTAACGAGCGACAAAACAACAAAAAAATCTATATATTCATATTTATATCATATATATATAATAGTTATGTACAATTACGTTAAATTAAATACGAGAGATTAAATCGGGAATCGGCGAGAAAGAGAAAGATAGAGAGTGTGAGCGAATGCTTCGGGAATCTCTGGGCAGCAGAGATCACAAAAAAAGGGTCAATAGGTCGTTCTATCACAGGCTAAAGAGAGCTACAACATTTACAACGTACAAAAAATAATAATTATTAATAATAACATAGTATTAATACGGACAACGAAAACACGAACGAAAAGAAAAACATTCACTCTTCAACAAATTTGTTAATTGTGTATATTTTTTTAATTATTATTATTATTATATTTCTTTTTTATATCATATGGATCCATTTTTTTGTATGCTTTGTATATACTGGGCGGAGACAAGAAAGATTATTTACAACTTAGAAGTAAATTTTATATAAAATAAGTTTACAGAAAAAAAAACTTAATAATAATAAAAAATAATTAGTTTCGCTTAATAAATAAATAATAATATGGCAAGTAAATTAATTTAATAAATTGGTAGTTGTACTATCGTGTAATAATCATAATCATAATAATAATAACATATAAAAAAAAACGTAATATTTATATAATATTAATCTAATTAAATAGGGGGGAGGGGGATGAAAGCCTAAAGCCTTGAGAATTACAGAAAAAAAATATATAATAATTTCATCAACATTATTAATCAGTCAGGGTTTTCTTCTTCTTGCAAATCCATTGAAAAAACCAAAAAAAAAATCGCAAAATTCTATTTACAGTTTTCATGGGAAGCTCTCAAAAAATCTTCCACCAAAAAAAAAACATCGTTTTCAATCTATAACGTTTCAGTAAATCGTTTCCTTTTCTTTTAATTTATTTTTTATTTTCTTTTGTTTCAATATACAGCGTATACAAATTTTTCTTCGTCTCGCCTAAAAAACGTTTCGTGTAATCAAAAATTAAAAAAAAAATTACCAACCAAAAAAATTGGCATCAAGAAATTAATTAAGACGTGAGTTTTGAAGGGGTTGGGGGTGATGGTGGTGGGTTTTACTTATTTATTTACTTAAATAGTTTTTTTTTGTATTGTACAAGTATTACGTATCTAATTTTGGAGAGAATTAGGCAAAAATCGCACGCACACTCTAAAAACCTACACGTTTACAACATCAAGAGACATTTTTTTTTCGTTATTTTTTTGTTTTTATTTTTATTTGTTTTTTTTTGGTAATATATTTTTATTTCAATATAATATATATTATGTTACACGAGAAACGACGGTACGACATTGTTTTTTTTATTAATTAATAATAATTTAAATATTTTCCCTCCATTCTTTGTTTTATTTATTATTTGTTTTTAATTTTTATTATATAATATGCTTATTATCATTTAGATAGAGAGAGAATGTGGTTGTTTTTTTTTGTGTTTAATTAATTATTCAATTAATATATCGTTAGTGTTTATTTCTTCGTCTGCTTTAAATCTACTAAAAAGTATATTTTTTTCCATTTTCTTTTCACTTTTTTTTTGTTATTTCTTGCTTTAAGTTTAGGTTTCTACCCTGACACCAAATTACGTATAATGTACTAAGAGTAAAATACTCGGCCGTTATGATTCCATATCTTATATTTTGTGTTGTATTTATGCACGTTTTTTTCTTAAATATCCTTATTTCATTCATCGAATCGTCATCAGCTCCATCATCTTAAAAACTACATAGTTTATTCCTCCGCCAAAAACCGTCTACCTGGGGGGGTGGTTTGGAACGAAAACAAACAAAGTACGTCACGAACATATGTACAAGTTGGCACAAGGTAATATATATCATTTTTTTTGCGTAATCATAATTCATACTAGTAGTAATAATAAGAAGAAATTATGCAACAAGGAAACGGCCTTTTTGTTTTTTTCAGTTTGTATATATAATTATTTTGTTCCTACCAAAGAGAAATTCCTCCTTCGGAAGGATGCATTACGTATTTGTTTATCAATTTGTCTTCTTTGGTTCCCGCTGAGCCGTTTCTACCAGATCTTTGCTTCTTTTTCTTTTTGAATGTCGAAACGTCAAAAGTCAAAACTTATATATTATATAATTGTCAAAGAAAAATAATTTAAACAAAAAAAAAACACATACATATAGAGAGAGAATAAAACGTAGTTTTTCAAACTTAAAATCACAACAATATTTTTTTTTTATAAAAAAACATAAAAAGAGATTTCCGTAAATAATAATAATAATAAAGATAAACTTAACTTTTAAGTAAAGAACACATAAAAAATATATATACAACAAAAAAATTAATTAAAAATTTGCGTTTTTTTCTTTCACTGGTTATTCAAGTCTTCTTCAGCTCCCGGTCCTTGTCTATTTTTTTTTAAATATATATATATAAATCCACGAAGGGCGCACTTGCAAATAATTGAAAAAAAAGTTTTCAAACTAAATGTCCTTTTTTTTCTATACAAATCACTTAGTGTCCTTTTTATTTCCATCCGTTTTCCGCACTTTATAATTTTCTCCTCTTTATTCCCATTTTTTTTTAAATTAATAATATAAACACTCACATCACATCACTTTTTTTTATATCATATTTTTGCTTTCTTCCCTATGCTATGTACCCATAGCAACTCGTTGCGTTTTGAGTGAAGACGGGCGGAGCCTATGTGGGTACCTTGGAGACGGCCTTGAGGAGATCACCTCCGGCCTTGTCGAGGCCCATCTTCATGGCCTCGTGATGGTGCTGATGTAAGGACGTATGGTTATCCATCTTCTGCTGCTTCTCCTGCTGTTGCTGCTTGTGCCTCTCCTGCTCCTCGCGTTCCCTCCTCGCCTGCTCGTTGATCTCCTTCACCGCTCGCAGCTCCTTCTTCAGCTTCATCCTCCGATTTTGGAACCAGATCTTGATCTGTCTTTCCGTCAAGCATAGGGCGTGAGCGATCTCGATCCGCCGTCGCCGTGTCAAGTAGTGATTGAAGTGGAACTCCTTCTCCAGCTCCAACGTTTGGAATCGCGTGTACGTTTGTCTGCCTCGTCTCCTTGGACAACCGTTCGGACCTAGAAACAAAGAGCAAAACCGTCGAAGAAAACGTGGTAAATAAACCAATATCAACAGAAAACGACTACCTGAAAACATGCATCAAAAACTACGTTTCAAAATAGAGCGAAAAAAGTAAACAAACAAATCCGAGCGAATCCTTTTTTTTTTATTTCAGTACCTGCTCTTTCTTCTTAAAAAAAAAACCAAAACTTTCACCCTTTTTACAGTTTTTTACGTTTTTTTTTACCTCAACCCTACTTTCTAATTTTTGGGTTAGAGCAGTAAAAGGGTTTTTTTTTACAAATTTATGACCCTTTATTGCTAAAAAATATAAAGTAACTGTGGACAAACAAAAAGAAAACAGGACTTTCTAATTCGCAAACTTTCCCGTAAAATTGCACAGAAATCCTTTTTTTAAGCGATAAAAGGATGCGTTTCTTAAAAGTATTTTCTAAAAGATCTTTTATCAACTAGAATTAACTTTCTCAAAAAAACTTATTTTTAAGGTAAGTCAATATAAGAATTTGTAAAAAAAAATGTTGCTTGAAGTTAAGTATTTAGAATAGGAATTAGTGTGGGCGTTTACTAATCTGTATTAAAATTAATTAAAGCGGGCTTAGAGCGTTTAATCAAGTAGGCGCAAGAATGCGTCTATTTTTAACGTGAACATTAGAATTCCACGTTCGTTTTACATGCGAATAGAATATCTCAAATTAAGTACTTGTTAACGAGACACATGACAATTTACTTGTTATTTAGTACAGCGTTTCAATTTTTGCAAAAAAAATAACATTAGAATTCCATTGAAAATTTACAAGCAAATACTTGACTTGAGATTTGAATCGTTGCAACAGATGCGAATTTCGTATTAGCTTTATATACAAGTACTTGACAAGCATTTTTGTGTTTAAATTAACATTTATATTGTTAAAAAACATTAAAATTCCATATCAAATTTAAAAATAAGTACTTGACAAGTTACTTGTTTGAATTGTATTGCAAACACATGAGAATTTCGTAGTAGATTTATACACAAGTAGAGAAAAAAGTATTTCAAGTAACATTTGGATTGACAAGAAAATATGAAAATTCTATAAAAAAAAATTAGAATCAAGTACTTGAGAGGTTACTTGTTACTTAGTATAATATTTGAATTGTCACAAGTAACTTCTTGTTTAGAATAACATTTAAATTGTTGAAAAACATAAGAATTTCGTATTAAGAATGTATAGCAATTACTTGACAATTAGTAAGTAAATTAAGACAATATTTTTAAACTGGAGTAAAATTATAATGAAACAAATACTTGTGTATGACAATACTAAAATTGACATATTGCCAAGTACTTGATACATTTTGTGACCATAAACATAACATTTTAATTATTGATTAAAATCATATAAGATTTTCTATTTTCACATATATAATTTCCTTTCTAATCAAAACTGTGTTAAATTCATTAAGAACTTCAAGCCATCTGCTACTACTTAGACAGTTGTCCTCGAGTTGCGTAAAAAAATAAATACTGTAAGCAACAGGCCAAACCTCTTGTAATTTCATAATCGAACCGGCGTGATTTACAGGTTTGAGCCGGCTGCTCGTAAAAATAAATAAATATAAAAGAAAGCCCGCTTATTGAACATCGCATTGTCCGATTTAATTTATGTCTGATGTTTGGGGTGCTTCGTTATTTTGTAGGTAGCGCACAAAATTGCAAAACCACATTTTATATACACGCACTTTTATTGCCCAATAATTCTGAACGCACTCTGCATACGGACAGCCCTTATATTTTTTTTGTGTGTTCATCCTCGCAACCATTTTCATTTTTGCGCATGAATGAAAAAAAATAAAAAATATAAATGTATGATGGTAGCAATTCGTATTTTTCCAATTCATTTAATATCATTTGTTATGTAATTTCGTTTTGTAACAACTTTTCATAAAGTATTTACATATAAATTTAATTATTATTTGTTCATTTTTATTGGCCCTAATTTTTACCTAATGATTGAAGTATTTTTGGCAAAGATTTAAGTAAATTTACTAATTTTAATACTAAGAAAAAATAATATTCAGAAAAACTGTGTGTTTAACTTAAATTTCCTTATGTTGTTAAAGTAAGTTAACTAAAAATAGATTGTTTGTAGAATAACTAAATTATTTGTTGTATTTCTATAATAAAGTTGATGTTTTTGGAATATTGGTGACAAAATAGCTCATAATTAATATCTCATAATTCCTGAAGATCAATTGATGTTTATATCTGGATTACTGTGGTATACAAAGATGGAATTAAAAAAATATTAATTCAATTGTTGTTTTTGATTGAAGATTCGTGTTAATGTCGTTGCACTTGAAGAAAGGAGAAAAAAAAATTGTAAAAGAAGAAATAAAAAAAATGAAAGTATGTGGAGAGTGCAGATGCAGATGGTTGTGTCCGGTCCAGAATCGTTGATTGGTTTCAATTGAAATTGATTGAGCAATAAAAAGAGGTTCCACCATGGTACGAAATAAAAGCGAGGCCGAAGGCGCGCATCCATTGTTTGCGGTCCTTACGCCAATTTAACAAATCACTTGATGACTGCCGGAAGATTAGGAATTGCTTGTTAGGATGGCTTGTCGCCCGAGCCATTTGCCATCATCATCATCATCGTAGTAGTCGTCGTCGTGGGGTTGAAGGGTGGATGGAATAAGGGATGTTTCGAGACACGGAGTTATGGCGCCGGGGAAATCCCCCGCAAACGGCACCCGGAATGCGTAAGTTATGCCCGTAAACAGACACTTTACATAACGAGACTCTAACCCCAAAACTCGAGGGATCCGATCCGAACGCAACAAAAAAAATATATATATATAAACTCGACGTTATGATTTTATTTCTTCATTTATTTCTGCTTCTCTTCTCCGGTGTCTACAGTGTTTCTTGTTTCTCCACTTCGGAATAAACAACACAAAAAAAAGTAAACGTAATATTCGCTCGGTCACGATCCGAGCACCGGCTGCGTGAGGGATAGTTAGGGCTCCGAACTACGTGCGTCGAATTGTAACATTCCTTCTGCAAGGTTTCGCTTGAATCGCGCGCCACGTTTTCCCCGAGCTTTTGCATGAAATTATTCATGCGGCAGATGTTCGTAGAAGAGAGTAGGAGGTGGAGGTGGTCCATTAAAGTTCGGATTAATCTAGGTGGCGGAATCGATCCGCTTTTCCTCCCCCGAATATTTAAATTTTAATTAAACCCGGGCTTTTGTTCTGGGACCGGCGCAGGAATCGTTCGATAAATCAAGAGCTTCAAAACCTCCCCCTCCGACAACCCCCTTCTCCACCGTTCCAACGAAAGTCTGCAGCTGATTTATGAGATCCGAAGGGGGGCCGCTCTCGGGTCGTTGCTATGGTTACAGGGGTGCCGCCATGCTGGTTCTTCCCTCTATCTCATCCATCTCTCTCTCTCTCTCTCTTTCGCACACAGACACAACCCTCGGAAACCTCCCCCAAAAAAACCCACACGGATGGATTCCATTGTGTCGTGTCTGGACTACGTATCTTATCTGTAATGTGCATAGCGACAGCCATAGGGCATTAATAACCTGATAGTGACGATCTAACGCCTTCCCATGGCCATTCCGAAAGACTGAAAGATGAAACAAACAAAAAAAGGACGAAGAAGCAGCAGCCGCAACCCTTTCGTTTATTCCGCAAGATCCTGGGATAAGGAGAGAGCGCGCGATGAGAGAAAAAAGAATAAAATCCAGCAGAATGTTGATCCCAGAAGATCGCTGCTGCAGCCAAACTGCATCCGTATAATTTTAGACTTGCCGTGGCACACTTTCACGAGATCACCACGAGCACATATAAATCGACCATTTATTTAAATCTCAAGAAATCCACGGCTTTGTAATTAATCGCCGACGGTGATGGTCGAAAAAAAAAACGATGAAAGATTATTACAAGATTTCAATTCAAGTAATTATTGACTTTAGTTTTCCATGTTTTGAGGAACGGCCGGCAATTATCGAAATGTCGGCTAAAGCGATAACAAATATTGATCTGGCTAATTCCACATAAAGAATGTAGCACATAGCTAAATTTAGATACAATTCCCCCAGATATGGATTTACCAACTTATACTTCATATTTAACATTCATTTAAATTATTCCAAATACACATTTCATTAATTAATTTAATTTAAGATTTGATATTAATTAATTATTGTTAATATTATCATGTTAATTAAAAATAAATTCATTCATGAATGAAATATTTAATTCATTTGTATAAATATATCAATGAATGAATAGTTTTCAATTAATTTAGTCGTAGAAAATGTACGTATATTATTAGAACACGTACAAATATTCGGAATCTATAATTAAAATGTTGAAGGCGCAAATATTCCAATTCAATAAATTGACGTTATTTACAAAAGGAAAAGGGTCTATTTTACATCTACGAAGCATGCACACACGTATGCATATATGTCTGTTTCCATTATAAATATTAGTTCTCTATATTCTAATTTTAGTGCTACGCAGAGAAACAGAATGGTGCACACTGAGAGAGCACCGAAAGGTTAAGGATACTGATTTAGCAGATAACATTCTCCTATCTCCTTTATTTTATTATTTGCATTCGTTTTTTTGTTATGTTTTTCATCCTTTTCAAAGAAATGTAATTAAATAAACCTTTTACGTTTCAGTTTTTGCACACTTACACAATCTGTAAGGAAAAACCGGACGCTCTTTTTTTTCCTCTCCTTTACTTTCAGGTCTCTCAGTGTGATTCATTATGTTTGTATGCCAACACGCATAACGTAACTTTCATCACTAGATAGAAACGACGTACAGGATTTTCAACATCAATAAAAATAAGGATTTCAGTTAAGTGAAACTTGTATTCTCATTATTACATTAATATTTTTTGATATTTACAAACAATATTTCTACTCAATCAAATTATTTCTGTATTTTATTAATTACTTTTTGTTTATAAAGAATCTTTTTCTCTAATAATTCATAT